CATAGGAATCGAAGCGAGACTAAAACGTTGTGCGATAGTTTAGTTTCATATGTTCGCAAGCTTTTAAGATGTTCTTTATGATTTTAAAGAAGGTTATGTTAATTGACCAAATAAATTAATTTGCTATAGTAACTGTTATCCATTCCTTTTAAATTAAAAATGTAATCATAACTCATTTTGCGACTAACTTAATATAAGTTATACCATCAAAGTTTTTGAAAGTACGCATCCTTGCTCCGGCCGTGATATTTGCTCGAATCAGGTCTGCCGGACATTACGATGCTCGACAAATTCTCAACATAATGGACCATTGTAGAACTGCGTTGATCGTCCTTATTTACTCTATTTATAAAATATATTTAACTATAAGTAGATATCTTACTGATTTAAATGCGAAAGTTTAAATGGATGTTTGTAGACCAAACGGTTGAATGGATCTCGATGAAAGCAAAGAATTTGGAAGAATATGGTACAAAGGCTAATTTTTTTTAATTCCACGTAGGTGGAATTACGAGCGAAATCTAGTTAGAAATATTTAAAATGCTATTGCCTTTAATAATATAAGTAATGAGTATTAAGGAATTATTTCGATAACTAAACTGAAATACAAGTGTCAATAATAATTTGCAGTAATTTTGAGTTTTAATATAAATAAATTTCATTATCACACATTTTAAGTATAAATGTTTCAAAGAATTCTTTCTCGCTTAAGTCACACTAAGCAAAAAACGCCGTTTTTTACAAGTTCCCATAAAGATATACAGAAAAATGTAATCTTTATATGATCAAATTACAGATGCATCCAAAGCCAGTGTAACGACGATACAGCTAATGTTATCCAAGCGTCCTTTAAAGCATTATCAAGTTATTGCGGTTAACTAATTACACAGATCAATGTTAACACAGAGAGTTTCTATTAAAATTATATGAAAATTTTAATTCAACATTCACGGATAGATCTCTAAAATTATATTCAAATTGCAAAAACTACTTATTATGTACAATTAAATAAAAATATTGAATTACGCAGATCAAATTAAAATAACCTTTATTGTTATTATTCTAAGCTATATAATAGCGTGTCCAATTCTAATTTTAGAGTAATTTTCGTTGACCTTTCGCGAATTTCATCGCAGTACTTTCTAATATGTGCTTGAGGTTCTAATTCACGATTTAGGAGCGTGAATATGTCATAATAAGTCTGTCACTACGTGATAGTGACAGATAGTTCCGCCTTGATCCTAGATTATTAATAGTATTTAATATTTACATTATTAAATGACTGTCATTTTATTTATGGCTGTAATAATGTTTAATTTTTCTTACTTCACATTGTAACTTACATAACTTATAAAATATACTTTCATGTTTTTTTATAACATAAGGTGGCAAACGAGCAAACGGCCACTTGAATACGCCAAAATGGCGAAGTGACCGCTGCCCATAGACTCATAGACAACCGCAATTGCAGATGCGTTGCCTACCCTTATCCGACGGAGGAGCAGACGCACATAAAGAGAATATTTTCCCTTCCTATGCATCTACTCCACCGTCAAATCCACTTCCCCTTCACATCCTCTCCTTATAAGAAAAGGGCGGCACCACACTCATCAGACGAAACACGGAATTGCTTCCATTTCACGCCTGTCTTCTGTGTGCTCGTTACACCGGGCGTGCCGGCCCTGCAGTGCTAAGATGTTAAAGCGGGCTCTACCACTGTTAAGTTTCATGTTTCATGGTTATATGGTAAAAAATAAAGTTCTGTTGAAATTGAAAACATTTATTTAAATATGTAGCAAGTCTAGAAATTGTTTTAAATTTTTTATGTCATGTTATTAATTGGAGTTATTTTATATTTTATTATTTGATGCAAGCTCTGTGCTGAGATACTCTTTACTGTGTTAACGTAGTTTTTTTATAAGGTCAGAGTATTAAAACAAACAGTTATAATATCTCTGTTCATCATTTATTGACTGAATTAATTTGTTTTTTTTTTTGATGATGATATTTGCTGCGTAAATAATTATGCAAAGTGTAGATTACAATTATTTCAAAATACTACATAAAAAAGAGGTTGCAAATTGTTAAAATAATTACTTAATGACCGTATTCACATTCAACTTATTATTAAAACTTAATACTGGTAATAATATTTGAATAGAAAAAGATCTTTGCAAGTGCAATAATTCATTCAATGGAGTTACAAACAGCAATAGAGATCTAATGATCATTACGCGAACGCCCGCGGCGCAGCAATCCGGCCAATTTCCCTAAAGGTCGCCGCTACTGCATAATGGAACTAAATAAACACAATTATTGCAAAACATTTTTAGAGTGCAAACATCTAAAGAAGAGCGATTATTAGTTGCTTAATAAGTTTTAAAATAGCTTACATAAGTTTAGATGGATGTTTATTACAACGTATCTACAGAACAGCACAATGGATCTTGTTGATATTTGGCACAAATGTAGAACATAGTATGGAAGAACACACAGACTACTTAGTGATTTTTTAATTTATCGCGAACGTAGTTGCGAACGCCAGTATACTGAATAAATTTTAAATATCGAATGTAACGTTTCTTTTATTTTTTAACAAAAGGTACATTACTTTAAAACACTCAAATGATACCGTTTCTTGCTATTAACAATATAATGAACAGCTTATGACTTGTACCACACACATATTAGTGTGAACTCCGCGGCGTGTGTGGCGCTGCGAACTGTATTCAATAGGTGGCGCTGATTCGTCCCGCGACTAACGCACTTTACAGTCTTAATTATTGTTATTTTTGTAGCTAAATATTGAGACTAAAGTAAAGAAATAGATAAGACAACTTAATTATAATTTCTTTTATGTGCTTTAAATATTTTTTCCATAAACTAATAAAAGAGTTAAATATCTGTCTATCACTTCATTATACAAATAAAGTTTACAACAAAGAAAATAGGAGAATAGTCCTTTTAATTTTCTTAAAGTTTTTATCAAGAGTTACTGCACAAACACATGTACAAAATAGAGTCACATTTTGTTTAAATAGAAACAAAACCATGTTATTTAACTATATCGGCAGTTTAGTATAGTACAGTTTAATAGAACCCACTTATCTTTCTCCACACTATCGTGTACATAATGTGTCATTTGTTACGGACGAAACTGCGTGTAATTATTAGTTGCGAGTAATTGTCGGCTATTGTCAGCTTGAATACGCGTCTCTTTTTTGCCGCAACACCATTTTATATTTACTGATTCCTACATAACTTACCGTAATAACCTTGTAGAGTCAATCAATAGTCAATATTAAATAATTAATAATTACATATATAAATAATAATTGTTTTTAATGTTAAAATTGACAAGTATTCCTTACTTATAAATGCATCCTTTTTTATATTTATGACGTTACGTTCATTTTTATTTAAACATTTAAAATTGACGTGTCTAGACAAAACTGGGAACTGTATATTTCCATTGACAGTTAAATTTTGCCCATACCTGTCACCTTTGACTGTACAGTTTGATTGACAATTAAAAACTTAACATGGCGTCTTAAACAACATGTTTTTGAGCTATCTTGAAAATATGTTTACAAGCGTAACATAATTTCGATGCACAGTTCAATCACATCGTAGACAACGTAACGCACAGTTAATCCGCGTTGAATTCCAGTACTTTTACGTTCATTTGATGTAATTAGTTTGTTGTTTTTTTCATAATGTACGAGAGTAAAAGCGTTACGTGTTGTGATCACACGCGACAGCGCGTTCAACTCTTTTGTATGTGCAACTTGTCTAAGTAAAGTAAGTGAATGTTAAGTTAGATATGTTTTGCATCTCTCTAAAGTTGAAGTTATATTTTGAATTACCTTCAAGTTTGAATAATAATTACAAAAATAAATCAAGACACGAATGTAAGATTGATGTGTGGGGTAACACGAATGGATAACATACGAAATGAGTATATTAGAGGAAGTCTGAGAGTAGCCCTAGTAGTAGAGAAGGTAAGGAGTAAAAGGTTAGCATGGTATGGGCATGTTATGAGGAGGGATGAATCGCATGTTACAAGGAGAACGTTAGTTATGAGTGTGGAAGGATACATTGGTAGAGGTAGAAAGAGATGGATGGATTGCGTAAAACGTGACATGATCAAAAAGAGAGTAATGACTGAGATGACGTATGATAGAGGACAAAAACCTGTCGCGCCGACCCTACAAGAGTACGATAAGCAGAAAGATAAAGAAGACGAATAAATGAATATTCATTTATCTTTATTATTGTTAGATTTCAACTGTGTTCATATTTTCAAATATAAATATACTTGAAATCAAAACTAGATTAAAAAAGTCCTTATCTATGTATGTAAGGTTTAGAAATTCAAAACTTAAGATCTACGTCATATGTGACGTCTTAACACGTTGAAAGCGGCAGAGATTTTTCTATCCTCTCAGTCCCTGCTGTTCCAGGTGTTTTAGAGTTGGTTTCGCATTCAACGTGTTAACAAAACTAAGTAAACATGAGAACAGCAACACGAAGACAGCTTCCTATTCAAGTGAATGCCTACAATGGTTATAACAACATGTCAAGGACACTCGGAGTTAAACCATAAAAGTTCACTCTCAGTTGCGATTCCTAACTTGTTTTGTTGTTTATCCTATTATGTCTAGATGTCTAAGTAAAAAGTTGAATAAAGTAAACTGAGAATAACGTATATGTTAATTACTTCATCATTGCTTTACTACATTTAGATTATTATGACTGGATTAGGAATCATAAATATTGAAAAAATCGCAAATAGTTCAATAATTATAATATTTAAAAACCGACGATTAATTTAGCCCTTACAAAAATAGAAGATTTTTTTTTTATTCCGCTAGATTTAAAGAAAATAGGTTATTATCTTAAAGTATAATACAAAGGAATTTGAAATAACACTATTTGAAAGCAGAATGTAACTAATATGTAAAAAGATATTAAAAATTTGGTCAAATAAATGTACTCACCGAAACTATTTGTCGAATCCTCGTTCCTAGCTGCAAGTCCGTCGCAAACACTTCACAAGTAACACTTCTTAAGTACTTTCAAACTGTTTTAAAAATAAACTTATTAACTGTAATACATAAAAAAAGCTTTCAAAGAAAATCTCTGTTAAGAATTTCCTTTAAGTTGTATAAGAGATGCATAACTTGTAATCAGTAAAAAACCTATGGATCTCCTTAGATCTTACACACAATGACTTCTCACGGAGCCGCAGTCTCCGAGTTACGCAAAAATTGCTCACAATTAAGCTAAGATTTTTTTCATTGGAACAATGTTTCGAATATTTGACAAAAGCATTGTCTCAAATGTTTGCCCAAACTTTTGATGTGAAAAAAATACTAGACAATTCTAATTCAGATTTAATAATTATAATAAAACCTGAACATCTAAAACTCAAGGTGAACATTTAAAAAAGCCTCTTTAAAAGACAGATATAAAAAATTTAAAAAAATCACAAAAATTATAATAACTACAAAAAAAACGCAACAGTTTGAAAGCACTTCAAAAATCAAAATTGTTTTTTCCAATCAAACGATAAAAACATATAAATAAAAAAGCTAAGTACAGTTTAACTGAAAAAAGCAACTTTGAATAATAATTATAATTTATACCGGTAAAGTTTTAGTATTAGAGGAAAGATGCAGTCGTTGTGATGGGCCGGGGCGCACTGGGCCGGTGGCGCGGCGGCGCTCGGTGGGGCTTGATGAGACCGCGAGGGGGGCGCTGTAGAGCCGCGTAGAAAGCGAGCGAAAGGGGTGATGGTGTCAAGGTTAGTATTGCATTTTTTTCCCATTTAATACATATGACCGGTGAGAACCAAAGTTGCTATGGCTTCCACAGGCTCGGACAGAGACAGTCTTGCAAAGAGAAATGAATTACTGTGTGGAGTTAACGCTGGAAAAAGATCATAATTAATCGGATTATTTCTATTATATTACCGTCACCCCGCTCTGTCTCCACATGAGGATAAAAAGTTTCATTCGTCCCACCTTTTATTCTTATTATCACAATAAGGTGACTGATGGAACCGATATGAAATGAAATAAGTTCCAACCGTCCCCTCGACGCAAAAAGAGGGACTGATGAAACTTTTTATTCTCATATGTTTCCACGTAGAGACAGAGCGGGGTGACGGTTAGGAATAATGCAATAAATGAATGTTGAGTAGAGTTTAATTGACAATTGAATTTAAAAAACATTTTTACACGAAAGTTAAACTTTATTTTTGCACACAAAATTTACATTTCTCTAGAGTTAATATTGAATTAACTTTAAGTGTTTAAATCGGCAGAAAAGAAAAATAACTTTACTACAAAAACGTCAAGAATACATATGGGAAGCCTATGTTTAATTGGCTAATGAATAAGTTATATAACAATTAACTTTAATGAAGTCACAAAAAACGTCAAGTTGATTCGATTGTGTTTGAGACTGTTCCCGCGCCTCGTGCGCGAAATTACGGACAACAAAGCACTAGTAACACGAAGAAATATAGAGGCTGTAAGTGTTTTATAATTTAGTTATAGGCTATAATAATATAAACAAGATTAAGTAGCCTATGTGTTCTACCAGACTATCATCTACATCTATGCCAAATTTCGTCAAGATCCGTTCAGCACCTTAGGCTACAAACTCTCACTAACATCCATCCATCTAAACTTTCGCATTTATAATTTTAGTAAGACATAACAAAGGATACGCTAACTAGCATTTACAAAGATAAATATTAACTAATATCAAATTTGTTTCAGAAAACGTTATAGTCAAAAAGCGAAAGTTTAGATGGATGGATGTTTGTTAGAGTGTACAGTCTAAACGGCTTAACGGATCTCGATGAAAGGCATATAAGTAGAACATAGTCTGGTAGAAGACTATATACTAATTAGTAATAATTTAGTGAAATATCTAGAAAGTAATTGTTAATCTAAAACATCGAATCTAATAAGATTTTTTGATGTGAATTAGAACCCTTTCATACCATTTTTACTTCAGTTGTATATTAAATTGTTTTTTGTGAATATTGTGGCAATGCGTTTACAACGGCAACAGGCGTCACCGGGCCGATAGCGGCCGATAGCGGCCAGATCGGGTCACTGATACCGGCCCGATCACAGGCCTCTAGTTACGTACAACTAATGACACCATAGTACACTTATTAAGTAGTCAATCTTTAAAATAAGAAATACAGATGTTAATGTATTGAGTGACAGGAGAATGACTGAATTGTGTTTAAAATAGTTCTTCGAATGGATAATTTGACATGCCAAACAAAAGTACAGGATTTGAAATGAAACCGGAATTTTAAAAAATCATGTTCAAATTTATTATTAATACTAAAATGTTTATTTCAAAATGGTTTAAAAAGGCAGACTAGTTGAAATAATCACATCTTTTCTTAGAGGAAATAAAGTTATATTTTATAAAATCTTTCATTTTAATCACTTCTATTCCCACACACATATCATGGTCACCCTATCACAGTAAGGTACTTGCGCACTTGCGAGTGCGATGTTGTGATAGGGTTGTTTTATGGCGATCCCCGGACAATAGGTCAGTTTGTTTCGGCGCTCGAAGAAAGTCCCGCTGCAGTACTAATGAACGTAATTAATTTAACAACGGAAGATGCTATGTTATATTCAAATAATGTACAAATGTATCTAAAAATCTATTAATTTATGTTTGTTATATAAAAAAATCTATTTATGAAAATTTTTTATATAGAGTAGGCGTAAGTCACTTGAAAAAAATGTTCGCGTGATCATCACTAACTCCATCTATTAATACATTCCTCAATCCCTCGATATTTTGTCAAAAAAATAATTTGTATAAGGCCACAAGATGGCGTAATTTTCTGACAAAAGATCGGAAAAAAAATTTCGTTAAGTATGTCTTGTCTATTTAATTTTTTAATGTTTTTATTGTTATACGAGCTCTTTATTATGACTACATTTAATGAATAAAAGCAGATAGCGGTTTTAATCATCAAAATCAAAACCAATTTTAAAATATAATATGTTAACAAAATTGTCGCTCGCGCTTTTGTTTTTTTATTCATGTCTCAATTATATCTAATAAGAAACTTTTATTTTAAATGATTACGTTTTCAGAAACTTCACTTTCTTGAGGCATCACGTAGATGCATGAGGAAGTTCCTTTCAACTTTCAGCTGCTCCACGAATAGCGTTTGTACGTGTTTACGACGATTGTAAAGATAGCTATGTCGTGAAAGCGAACAGTCCTCAAGTAATGTGGGAATTTCTTGTTAGGAGTATGATAGACGAGTGTTTGGGATTGTGCCTTATGAGGTCCCGGATCTAATTCAGCCAATATAAAAACATCTAAAGTAGCTTTTGTTTTGTTTAGTATACTAATGTGAAACGTTATTTTTAATTCTGTTTTTATAAATTCACATTTCTTCTAATACTTACCGGCTTAAATTCTTAGCAATAGATTATCACCTACGGGGTAAATAATCTCAAGTAGGGATGGCGACGGGCAGGCGGCCGGCCGTAAAAAATAGTGCCGAATCCAAAAGTAGGGTTTTCATACCCGAAAACCTGTTGCACCGACCTTACGGGAGTAGAATAAGGAGAGAGATGATGATGAGATTGTCATCTACGGCTTATTCAATATTAAAATTAATTCGATTACTATCTGAATGACCACGATCGGAACAAAAGGCACGAGAGCTTATATTTTCGTACATAGAATGAATTTTGAAATTCCTGTAGACATTTTTGGATAACAATGCAGGTCGAAGACAAACTGAGATATTTTGTAACACTATCGGTAACTTATTTCTAAAGTGATTGAATTACAATTGCCGATCGTGATTATTGTATGTGTCGACCCCGTTTTATATAAAAGGCGTTGCGTGATCCGCTCATCCTTATTGTTGTCTCGTCATAATATTGTTACGAATGCAACAAATATCTGTTGGATTTACTTTTAATTAATGCAGATATTTTACATTGCTTAAAAGTACATTAATAAAAAGTCTATTTAGACTCTGTTTAACTTGTTACCGACAGCGCGGCAGCCAAAAATACAAAACACTTTTTATTAAACTAATACATCTTTATTTAAAACTTTTTTACACAAATATATAAAAAACTTAAAACTCAAAACTATGTCGATCACATCTTGACTTCTTCTTTTATATATTTTCTTTTACAAACGATTATTGCCTTGGTGGCCAGTATGCAACCTCTTTGGCTGTATACATACTGTTTGTCAGCCAAAGAGGTTGTATTTTGCACTCAACAGACTCCAAAAGTTTATAAAGCATTTTGTTAGCCTTTACTTCGCTAAATGTTATTAAATGAAAAATCAGTGTAAGTTATTTCTTTGTTTCGACTTTAGGATTCAATTTGGATGATAAAGTTTAATTTATAAATCAGTAATTTAAGTTTTTGCTTTCCCAGTTGGTGTATGCCGTATTTAATTGATTAATCATATTGTTTGTTCGATCGAAAGACTATTATCGATAGTTAATATCGATGTTCGTCCCGTCACGTCATATTCCGCGTTTCAACTCGTTACATCAAGATGTAAAAGTGAAACTTCATATCATGTCGCCTAAATCTCGAGTGACGCGAATTCGCGTGCATTAGATGTAAACAATAAACTTGTAACTAACAAGGGAACTGATCTCATTTCATTGAAACATGCTTTACAATATTTTGCCCGATGTATGTGGGAATGGAATTATAGTGATGGGAAGTTTGTCGATATTTTTTAACTATCGATATAGTGGAACTTTAACTTTTCTTTAAAATGTTATTTCTTTTGAAAAATCTGCAGAGTTATGGGGTAGATAGACCAGGCATCGAAACCTAAGAACAGCACGATCGTGCAAATATTTCGTAATTAACGTTCGCTTAAGTCTAATGTCTAAAAATTATTAATAGCTTCATTGATTGTAAGCTATAGATTTGATAGAGCTATGAGATGTGAGATTATTGTTTAGTAATAGAATGGTCCATTATTAATTTGTGTCATATTTTAAAGCAAATGTCTCGACTTTAATCAATTTCAAGTCTGTCGAACTTTCATTTTTTTATGGATTTTAATTAATCGCTTTTATATTGTTTTGTAACTTTTTTGTCATAACATGTCCAAAGTCAATGTCAAAAGATACAAGTCATACTATACTACATTTATTTTTCACCGGTACTTTTCCAGAAGAGTTCTATAAAGTTTTAAATTTAACGCCATCTCGTGTCCTTATATTGACATATAATAAAACATTTTACAAAACTATACTAAGCTCCACCTTTGTTATTAAATAAACTAAACAGCGTTATAAAATAAAAAATAAACGTAAATAGACAATGTATGTAATGAAACTATTGGCATTTCAGGTAAATAAATGGTTTCGCAGAACTATTAATAGATGGCGTTAGTGATGATAATGTCAATATAGTTTAATTTAACTGCCGATAGGTGTCATTAAATGTTAATATTTATTTTTGGATACTGTTTGGTTTATTTTTATAACAAAAGATGGAGCTAATTATAATTTTATAAAATGCTTTATCACATGTCAATACAGACACGAGATGGCGTTAAACTTAACAACTGGTTAGTACCTTTTAGAGAAAATAGGGGTGAAAAAATATTATTCATTATGTCTAGTCTATATATCTCTTGAATGTCTCAACTAAATTCAATATAATGTAACCGA